GAGAAAGGGGAGTAGCCAAGTCAGAAGGCATAAAAGCAAGCATGTTTATTACACTCTGTAGGATCCGAATTTAGGAACCTGAAAGCTGAGGCCTCATACCAGACCTCTTAAATGTACGTTAGAATGTTACCACACAAATTCAGGCCACATGGGCTCTAGGGTATAGACACATTTGTCTGACTTCGCATGTTCTATCTGAACAGGACTTTGTAGACCTAAAACTCAAGTATATTTATGAGGTACTGATGTACAGATGAAAACGCTTAAAAGTCCGGGTAGCTATGTTTGTGTTCCGGTTTCAGCATTTATAGATCAGGCAGAACAAAGAATTTCTTTATTAGAGGGCATTAAGACATGCAGCAAAAAACTGTTTAAATCCTAGGCCACATACCAGTATGATCAGTCATCAGAGATATCTTTTGTTTATACCGACAATACAATTCCAGAAACTACTGTATTACTAACAATTGTCCTTTTTCAATAGGTCTTCGTATAAACAGATCAGTCCAAGTAGATAAACAGAGTTTTAGACCACTGCTGCTGTCAGAGTACCAAGCTCAGGAAACAGAAAAAAGTCCAGTTCAGCTAACAAAGGTATGAAAGATCTGGATCCCATCCCTTGTTTAAGCTCCCAACTAAGCTGTATGTTATTCCGTAAGTTTCAGTAACATGCCTGAATAGCCTGATCCGTCATCGTAACTTTCTAGGATGTGGATTTTGTGTGAATGTAACTGTATTACAGAAAATATGTAGGACAAATGTTGTGATACAAAATAAGAATATAATAGTAATAGCAATTACTAATCTTTTTGTAAGTATTGTACTGACTGTGTATGTTTAAAAGTCACTAAACAAGTATTCCCTCATTATTTTTACCTTTAATTGCCAATTATAGGAGAAAAGGTCTTCCGAAGATAAGAATCAAAAAGCAAAAGCAAACAAAGCATACACAGATGCCCAATGTAGAACAGAAAGGCGATCAACCGAGAAAATACCAAAGCCAGAAACTTTTAATAGAACACGTAGAGGTATACTTTAACATTTTTCTCAGAAACTCATTTGATCTTTGCAGAAGTTGAATGAACCGATGGTATTGGTAATTTACATGGGTCTAACAGCCATCAGCTGGCACCTGACTGACAGGAACTCGTTCAACAAAATAATATATTAAGCGTCACTGAAATCCAGCTGCTGGCAGTGCTGCACTGGCAGCTGAGCAGCTCCGCGGTATAAGGCATCTTCAGGCTGCTGCACTTCTAAAAGGAGTTCCTGGTCACGTTGGTAAGAAGTCAGTGCTTTATCTGTAAAAGTATGCTTCAATTAATAGTGTGTTAATTCCACACTAATCAAATACCGATCTCAAATTGTTGGTTGTGAATCTTCATCGTAGCCGATGTCAACATATGTTTCTGGCTCAGGATCTATTGCCGAGAAAGGAAAAGGACTTCTTCAGGGGCTGGGAGTATCTCCTCATTACAGCGATCACTGTAAATAGATTTTATGTAAATCTTAGCCATTGGCTGTGTTCTCATCTAACAGTTATACGCAAGGGACTCATCTATAAACGCCTGTATTTTGCAGAGATTCTATAGAACAGAAGAAACCAGTGCATCTATTCCTTTATCTGAGTTTTTCTTTCTAAAAATACCCGCGTTGTTTTCATCATAGTGAGGCCTGTAGAAAGAACCAAGATCTGAACGCCATCATGCTAAATACTTCACAAATGGTAGGAGACAGTACGTGACCTAAAGGTCACGCATTTACGGAGGTGAAACAGATTGTCGAGGTCACTTACTAGATCAGTTACAGAGCTAGTAATCTGGAATGCATTAACTCCCGTATTTTATACTCCGCCTTTTTGGCCTGCAGCCTTTCCAGACCCCACCAGTTAACAGAAGTCAGCGTTTGCCTTTGAAATCCCCTTTTAAAATTGACAGAAAACACAGGTCTTCTGATTCTGCCTGTGAATCTCTCTCCTCACTGTTTGCCAGACTCTCTTCTGGCTCTCTCCCACTGCCGATATTAGACTGACTTACGGAAGTCTTATTTAGCTATTATTGCAACTTCATGCTTCTCTGTTAAGCTTGGACTCGCTCTCATTTTGGCGGCACTCTGAGTCTCTCCAAAGCACAGAACCTAGTGCAATTTGTCCCCTGCAGCAGACAAATGCATTTACTGTAGGCATTCAGCATACACATAACCTTTCTCTACTAAGAAGTGGAGCCAACTCATTTATAGGTTAGACACTTGCAGTATATTCTGCTCCACACTACAAGCAACTGTGTTGTCAATTAAGGGAGAGAAAATCATACATATATTTAGGTTCCACTTAAAAGCAAGAAAATTACAACTAGAGTTTAGATCTCGTGTGGTTTCTCTGTTGCATTCTACGTGACTTTTCTGGCCCTATATTAGCCATTACTGATTATATTTGCATGCCAATTCATTTAATAAAATGAAACATGATGAAAAAGGTAAAAATAAAGATATTTACCTGGACACAATGGCACAACGATAATGTTTAAAAACATCTTGCCCCATCCTGTTATATTTATTAGTAAATAGCATTGTTATAACCCTCAAGACTGAAATACTGTCAATAACAACAACTTCAGCAAAAAAATAAGGAAGTAAAACTTGTTCTCATTAATGCTTCGTGACTCTTTATGTTCCTAGGCTATTTAAGAACATTCCTAAACCCCACAATATTTCATTTTAGAGTATTTAAGGGAGGGCAGACTACTGATGGAAGAATACACTTGCTTGGAATTTATGAAAGAAGACAAAAAAGAGACAGGTTTGCTTGAACGGGAGCTGAAAAAACTGATGAAAACTGAGCAAACTCCTCTAAGTGACAGTGTAAAAGAGAGCAGTGAAGAGGAAGATGCAGTGGAAGAGTATGAGAGAGAAGGAAAAAAGCCAGATGAACAGCTAAATAACAGTGAGAAGGCAGAGAGCAAACGTGTAACTCCAGGTCCAAGGAACAAAACGCTCATTAGGCTGAAAAAAAAATACATATTCTCAGAAGCTACCGAGAATTTGCACCACGGGCTTCCTACATCAGGTACAAAATCCAAAAAAGGCAGTCCTTGCAACCACAGACACGCAGGTCGGGCGTGCAGTGAAACAGCTGGATCAAAAGTGAAAAATTCCTTTGGGCGATATGAACCATCTTTTGGTAAAGTTACCAAAACAGGGTGGAAGGACAGTTCCACTGAAGCGGAAGGCTGCGCCCACAGGACATTCGCTGACGGGAAAAACAGTCTTACGAAAGAACTCTTTGGACCAGGATGTGTTCGAAGAGACAACCATTCAAGTTCCAACATGAGAGGAATGGAGAAGTGAAAGGATGCAGGATTACCCAAGCCGAATTTCAAACCACCACTACTAACCAGTTCATAACGTAACGCCTCTAACACCAATGAAATCCTCATGAGAATACACAAACTAATTATTTTGTTTGGTAGTAGGTTAAGTACATCAACTTACCTTTACTCTAGAAATATGGATCATTTAAAATGTTTTTTTTTTTTTAAAAACAATGGTTTTACCGTTATTAAATGCACATTAAATCTTACAAGTACCGAGAATTTCTTTCGAAGATTTTTCCAAAGTGATAGTCAAATCCGTTGTCACAAAAGAACATTCCTCTGTTCCTGGTCTCTGTGCGTGCATGCGCACGCATATGCATCTTAGTAAGGTGCCTTAACAACTACGACATTTTTACCTGCTGTCAGGTGTCCAAGTTAGTCCTTGTTTTGTAATTTCCAGTTTTTTGCATTCTCTCTGCAGTTCGAGTTTTGAAGCTGATGATTATTTGTTAGCTGGCTGAAGTGAGCAATCTGCTTTCGTAAGGTTCATTATTGGGTTAGTACCAACAATGCAATAAAAGAAAATAATTTTTTATTTTCTTCACTCCTGAAATAGCTTCCAGAATTCACACATAATAAAAATAACTTGCTATTAGATTGTTTTCACTAGCATTATAAAGCTCTAAAGCTTCATTCTTTTCCACTGTTAGAACTTATCAAAGCAGCGTGCCTGGTAACTTCCACAGCTGACATCCAAAGATGAATGTGCAAGAGTAAACCATTGTTTTGGAGAAGCCAGGCATATCCAGTTCTCAAAAAGCCTTTAAAAATCCTGTGTTTAAGGTTATGTAAGCGAGGGTAGGAGGATTATGTTTTGTTCCTCATAGTAATTCATGGAACGTTTGCTAAAATGTGAAGTTAGGCAAAACTATGTGTATTCTATTAATTTTAAAAGACAGTAGCACTTAAAAAAACAAAAACCAAAACAAAACTTCAAAAAACTGTACCGCAAAAGGTGATTAAGACATGTAGATCCGAACCTACTTGCGGCATACTTCTTTTCAAAATTCCAAAGGTTTTTCTCGAAGCAGTGCTGGAGCTCTACAGCGGGCAGGTTTCCAAGAATGGCGTTGTGTGGTCAGACGGGTAGGTGTTTCTCTTCTATGAACTATTCCGACTTCCACGGTGCCCTTACTGCTGTCCCAAAGCTAAGAGCAAACAAGCATACGTCATCCGGCGCTCCTGCCTGTACTGACTAGATGACCAAAAGCCTTTTTGCCCTCACTCACCCAAGTGTTTGACCACAGCAGCCAACAAACCGCGCCTTTGATGACCCCACGCTAAGTCTGGATAAACAGCAAATGCCGCTGGGAGGATTTTAAACGCTGCTGCTTTCCTTGACTTCACTGTGTTAAACTCTGCAGCAAGCTAAGTGGAAATACCAGTAGCCACCTCTTTAGATTCAGAAATACGTCAACGTCATAGTTAAATAATCTGTCCCGAATGCTTAAAAAAAAAAAAAAAAAAATTAGGCCCCACTTTTTTAAAAGTAAAAACCTCACACTCTTGATTCACACCAACTGGCACGGGGGGGGGGGGGGGGGGTGTTGGGTTTTCAGGTTTTGGGGTTTTGTTTTGTTTTTTTAGGAAAACTGTAATTAACATTGAAAAATGGATTAGAAAACTTGAGATGGGTTGAAAAGCTTTATTTCGTTAATAAAAACACAACTATACATAACATTCAACCACAACATTTTTTTCTTGATGATATTTAATGCACCTATTTTCATGTTGGCTAATGTAATCCCTAATATAAAACCAGTTCTTCTTTAGATTAACATTTAAAAAAAAAACCCAAAACCATTTCATGCATATATACACACGCACGTGCGATGCATCATGACCTTTTGAACTGATTTCTAAAGGCAGCGCTAATTATGGAGGGGCTCTAGCCCCTTCCTGCAGGGAGGCAAAGGACCTGAAATAACGTAACAGATGCATTCTGCTGTACAGCGTGGGAAGCTGAACCAGAACTGCCAAAGCCCAGCGGAAGGGGGAAAGGGGTCCCCTAGAGCTTTGTTCAGGCTCGTGTCAAAAAGGAAAACCCAAAACGGAGGAGGTGTGGAACAAGAACTTTACAAACCACCTGTTTGTCTTACGGGGCAGGAACGGCAGGGTTGCAGATACCACTGTAGCGTGGAAGAGAACGCAACTGTGTCGCTGTTCTACAGGCACGGTACTAGGAAGAATTCTGTCCGCCTTTACTTTCAAAATATCGTGGCTGTTTCCTGTACCTAAATACAGCGAGAAGGATTTACTCCAAAAGAGAAAATTGTTTTCCCTCCTCCCTCTGCTTGCCACCGTTCTGTTACTGCTTCAGACATTTAAATCACTGATTTGCCGTTTTACATTTACATAGCCGTTACGGGCTATCCTGGACTGTCGTTAATGTATGCTAAAGCCCTTAGAAACGTACTCCTCCGAAGGAACAGCGCTGTTCCCTACTTTCTCTTTCTTAACATGGAGCTTGAGAGGGATGGCCAGACCTTCCCTCCCAAAACACGGAAGGAAATAGTTTCAGTGATCCTCACGCAGTTTGGGAAGCACGAAAACTGTCAAGGAAGGAAAGGTCAGTTATCAATAAAAGTAGGAAAAAATTCAAGTGTTCGATGAATTTTAAAAGTCAGGGAGGAAAAAGTAGCCAGCCATCCTCTACTCGGCAACTGAGTGAGTCTCTTAAGGGTTGATTCTGCATATATATCAATAACACATTTTCTAAGACAGCCCAAGAACACACCAGTTCTAGTGTAAAACATAGCAAGGAGGAAACTAATTCTGCTTTATGCTAGGCCAACCGAACCACCTACCTCTATCCTCTAGTACCACTTGACACCAAATATAATCCCACCTTTGGATGAAACTGCCATATTATGCAGCAAAGAAACAGCAAAGCTCCCAAATTAATTCCTAATGCCAGTGCCTTTCCAACTTAAAAATACAAATCCAGCACTTTTAGGTTTTGGTGAATATATGCCATGACAAAGTCTTATGGTTCTGCCATGAATCAGTCTTTGTACTTGTCCAAATAGACACAAAATGAGGTTCCATAAACAGCAATGCTATTCTTTGAAAACTGACCACCAAACTGAAAAACAAACTGAGGAAAGGTTAAATAAATCGAAAGGAATACTGACTGATATCCAAATGAAGTAACAAAGAGATTATCTCAGACCTAGTCTCACGGAAGACAACTGGTTTGTTTTTTTTTTTTAAATTCATTTAGAACAGTGATAATGAAAATGTAGTTGAGGACTCCATGGATTACTGGGATTCCTTCAGCTGAAAGGGTGTAGCACGATAGCTACAACTTTATTACAAACGACAAGCCAACATGTAATTCCAACACCACCTGAAAGAGATATAAAACACGGTTTCAGTCATTGCATCAAGAACCCTGAAGCACACAAGCTTCTGAAAACAACTTTGGAAGTGTAAAAAAATGAAACTTAAGAGTTATAAGGTGAACAGGAACAAAACATCTTTCTTTTTATATACAAATGCCTCTCTTCAAGGGATGGCAGCTAACTCCATGCTGGTCCTGAGAAAACCTGAAGATTGTCCGGGGAAAAGAGTACCAAATAACAGGAATATGAGCCAAAGCGTGGTATATACAACCCACAGCTTCTAAAAACATTTGCTGTGACCTAATAGAAAACGTCTAAGGCATGGCAAGTAACAGAATACTTTGCTAGAACCTAAATTCAAGATCTGAGATAGGTAAAAAGTAGATTTCCTCCGAAATTTAAATCAGTCTTTTAAAAAGTATTAAGTCCACACTTCTCTCCTTTCCCCTTGCTCCCCATACAGCTATACAGAAAAACTCTACGGAGACCTTCGCTACTGACCCAGACGCCTTGCACTGCTGTTTTAAAGGGTCCCGTCGTTCCAACTAGCAGCACAGAAATTTGCGTAGGTATGATGGAATAGAGGGTGTGCCCTGACTGCAATACACAGCACATCCATACTGCAGACTATATAGACTCATGCTACATAGTATCACAGAATACATAGCTATTCATAGCACACACGTGAAGAAACTACCTTGTTGGTGATTTTTAGACGTTTTTATGTTTATCACAGAGAATTCAAAAGCGATCTCTTTACTCTGACTATCAGCCAAGACAAAAAAGGAGATTTGAAGGCAGACATGGATGTCAACCTTCTAAAATCCCTTCAAATGCTATTTAAATAAATGTCTTCCAAGGACTATTCCCCCACCCTGGCTCCTCTCTGGTCCAGTAAGCTTGCGGGATACAAATAATTCTCTAGCCAGTTATTAAAGAGACAACAACATACAATTCCAACCACATATTTTGGAGTTCCTTCTAAGGCAGTTGGGACTTAGTAGCCTAACATGAAGATTCACCAGCAGCATTTTAGCTTGATGGCAAATTTCCACACTACATCGTCCTGGCATTCTGCCTGTCTACTTACCCCGTTCGCACAGAACCAGCACGCTTTTCACTCAGAAACAGCTATCTACAACCTGTGATACCGTTCTGATCATTAATTCCTTAAACTGCCCAAAAGAGAAGGATTTAAGTAGGTAAAAATGCAACAGGAGCGCGATGGGAAAAAGGGTGGGAACGGACAAGACAAAATGCCAAGAGGGAGCATACCTAAATCGTTCTGGAGTTACACTACTGTGTTTCTTATAAACTGCTGGGGTTCCACACGTAAGCAATACAGACCTATGAAGTATTTGCCCGTTTTTAAGCCCAATTCTACTATTTCAGCGGACTCCTTAATATAAAAATATTTCCAATTCAAAACCTTCTCCAGGCTCTATTTCATACTAAGATAAAGCTGCACTGTTTGAGAAGAAATAAAAAGGACAAATAGGCCATTTCATTGACTACATAGGAAACAGCTGATCAAATGTCGGAAACTCCTCCCTGCATTAAGGGAGTTCAAAGAAACGCACAGAAGCAGTGCTTCTAATCTATGTGTGCTCTTCACCACTACATTGTCAGCATCCACACGGGCTCGGGAAATGTATTTTTTCTACTGTACAGTTCTTACCTGCCACCCCCGTAGGAAAGGCTACCAAGCGCTCCAGCGGAGCGAGCCATTTGCTTGGAAGCACTGTAACGGGCTCAGAATAGTACTTCCAAATGAGAGAGATCATCAAGGCAGCCTAGAATTGAAATTTTTATTAGCTTGGATAATAATACACATCAAAGTACATTTCCACCGCTATTTTGAAGCGGTAAATCACAAATTCTAATTAAAGATAATAGTTTCTTTGTTATTTAACGTGGTTCTGAAGCAAGTGCAAAATATTTTTAAACTTAGTATGACCTTAACTTTATACACAATATTAAGAGGTAGCAGTGGGACGTTGGAAAACACTGCTTTCTTTTGAGACCCTGGTTCCAGTCTATCATAGACAAACATAGTGATAGTAACTGTTAAGTTCTGATGACCGTTTTTAGCCATAATCCTTGCCTGCTAGGAATCCAACTAGCTTTAACATTACCCTAAAGATATCTCCAGGTTAACCACTGTCATCCTTATTAGCAGACAGTTCTTTGGCATCAAGTCCGAACTACAGAGACAATCTGATGAGGCACCGTAGCAAAATGCACGGCAGCTGTAAGTGGAGATTTGCATCCTCAACAAAAGCACATTTTGTTTTCAAAAACATAAGAAAAATGTATTTACAGGTATCAGAACTTTCCTGGGTCCAGTGCCATATACAAATGAAAAAAAAAACCCCAAACCAAAACAGTGATGAAAGAGCCAAGACAAACTCCTATCTTGTCATCTCAAAACCAGAAACACATAGCTAAAATGAAAACTCAAAACTCCTTCCACCCACAACTACCAGACCTTATCAGCAACATCTCTCCCTTCTATTTCAAGAAACTGTTTCAGTTTGGCATGTGCTGTGTCATTGGAATGTCAAACACCTGTGTGACTCACCATCAGCCAATAAATGCAGGAGAGAATTGTAACACTACTGAGGATTTGGTTTAGTAATTTGTATTCATAATAAAATATTTACTTACTTGTAAGATGTAGAACACGATATTTATAACCCACTTTATTTTGGCTAATTGGGCAGTTCGTGCTTTCACTGTTAAAAAAAAATCACTGCATTATTTATAATAGTGAATTACACTTACATAAAACTATTAACGTATTAATATTTCATTCTTCAAATCAGGCCATTACACTGTTTAAAAATCTCTTTTCAAATGACTTGTAGACATATTGAAAGTACCCTTCTGCAAGAAAATGCTAGGTCCGTATCGCACCATAGTTTCCTATTAACGCTACTATGAAAAGTTGCAAACTGCTGATATCCTAGACAAAGAAATGTCACGCATGCTCAAGAGCACTATGCCCAAATGAGAACAGTCACCGTGGCTACTAATTTAAGAACCTGCTTCAGATGAAGCATAAAGTAAACTTTTCCCTTTCCTAAAAAGGGAGAATGATGGCTTTAGCAGATGTACTTTTTGCCTTACTTCATTCAGGAACAAGGTTAAGCCTATTCCTTCACCGAAGGAACCTTGGTCACGTTCAGTAGTCAAACTTCTCATGCCTGTTTTAGTTCTGTTCCAGTACCTCAGAGCAATATAAAGAAGCCCGGCGAAGACAGCACATCTTCAAACATAATGGTGGCCTCAAGTTTTCTAAAACAACGTTGTTGGTTGCTCAGCAAACCACTCAAATCTAGCTTAATTGCAATTATTGGGTTAAGAATAATACTACTGAAAGCAATCCAAACCTGCCAGTTGTAAATATTGTCCTTTCTCCAAGCAAGGAGCCTATAAACATCCATCCGTTCCGCACAGAGGAAGCGGACAAAGCAAGTAGTCTCCTATCCTGTTAGGATCAGTTAGTGAGTTTGGGCAAAGACAAGAGCAAAAGCTCTGGTGCCAAAGGCTTACGCGTACTTTCTACCACGAGATGATGGACTACGCTACCGTAAAATCCTAATCGAGGCAAAGCACTACAGCTCTATCGCAAAAGCTGCTGCATAAGATCAAAGAGGACTGCAAAATGAGAGGAGAGATCTCATCTGGCCACCTTACAGATCAACGTTTTTTCTCTCTAGCGTTTTGTAGCACACCACCCAAACAGCCCCAACCAAGCAGTGCATCCTTTTGCAGTGAAGACAGGCAGCAGAGGACTTCCTCGGCTTATTCAAAACATGGTTCAGTGATGAGCATCACTGAGAAAGGGTAAATAATTACACACTGAAGCCCAGGAAATTCTTTGTAAGAAAAATTTGACATCTACATCACTCCCTTATCAGTGTATGCAGAACTATGCACAACTGAAAGACAAAAGCAAGCTCTCCAAAAAGCTTAAAGAAAAAAAAAAGAAAAAAAGAAGGAAATGGATAAGAGGGGGAAGAAAAAAGCTGAAGGAGAAATATACTTGAAATTGAACACATTCTTGACAAAACATTTTTCAGAAACTAGAAAAGGGAGTAAACATTGCACCCTACCGTGAGTTTTAAGCTTGTCAGTCATTTTGTTAATCTTTCTTTCCAGACGGGCGTATCTAGCAAACTCATCCATCATACTAATGGTTGAGAGTTCCTGCTTCATGTTCTGAATTTCAGCTCTCATCTGGGACTCCTGCTCTGCATCCTTTTGTAACAATCTGGATATCTAAGAAGTAAAGAAATAGTTATTTATCCGGAATTCCACTGGTTTTCTTTAGTATGTATGAAGTATGACCTCCTGTTTACATACTCAGAAGCCTCCCATAAAAAAAGGCCCTTTCACCAAGACACAGGGGAACCTTGGCTTAACATCTGCAACAGGTTCCAAAAGCCAAAGAATTTTTACTCTCTTGTTCTGACTGAAGCAAACCAAAAAGGGTTTTACCATCCCTGCAAGGCAGATTTTTCAACTTTTCTAACTGTGGTTGCTAACTGCCTTTTCCTTCTCTATTTCTGCTTCCATCTCCTCATCTCCCCACTCTCGATGATGCTGCCTCCCGAGACCTTTCAAACCTCCCAGGCCCCGACTGCCTGCCGCCGTGTCCTGATGTCCTCCCTCCTTGCAGTTCTCATCACGCGCTGCTTGGACGACAAGCAGCCGATACGTGCAGGAGAAGAAGGGCTGGGGAAGCACTCCTTCTCATCAGTACTCTTTCCAGCTCCAGCAATGCCCCTCGCTCATTCATCGCTCCCATTTCCAGCTCCAGCAGCCTCAGCAAGGGTCTAAACTAGTTAACGTGGAAACTTCATTCACCGAAGCCCAGTTTGAGGCCTCACCAATAACGCATGGCTCACCAGTCGGGGATCACGCCTCTAGATTACAGATTGCCTAGTCCGGGCTGTTAGAAACACGCGAATTGCCATTCCGGCCGAGAGTTGTGATCCACCTAGCGCAGTACCTTACCGCTGCCTCAAAACCAGGAACAGAAATTTGCATTAGTTATTCTTCTTACGTCTTACCCATGCGTTTGAAGACAGTTTTCTTACAACATCTTACTGGTTTCTTGGCTAAAATTATGTCCTATGGACAGAAATGTAAGAAGGTAATCACACGTCGTGTTAGCAAACATTTTCTCCCCCTCTTTTACTTTCCTACTTTCTTTTCATGAGGCACCAGCTGCTTGTTGGTTCATGAACTCCTTTTACCATAGAAATGAAGATACAAAGAACCTAAAATCTTCTTCTTGCTGTTCCTTTGCAAGTCTTTCTAGCTTTCTCAAGACACGTGTCATTTTCTCCCCACAAATGATGTTCTCAGTGCTGCAGTCAATGAGAACATTACACTACTTTGTCACGAACCACAGCAGAAAGTTGAGCAGAGATTTTCGTTAGTCATCTATGGCAACATCGAGTTCAGCTTCCCAAATTGCTAAGAGTAATTTATGTTTTAAAGGATTTTTATCCATTATCCAACAGTGTGCACTGATCTGTGTGACTGCAAAGTTATTTGCGTAAAAGAGCAGAATGATAGGTATTTTCGCACGCTTGCTCACGTGCAAGTTTATTTGGCAGCCACAGAGTTTATTGGTCCACAATTCTGTTATCCACGCTTCCACAGAAACGCTCAAGATCAGCCCAGGGGCCGTCCTGATTAGCGACTGCGACTTAAGGTTTTCTCCTATGATGCCTAACTCCTTCATCTCTGCATCCACCGATCTCCCCTCTCAACAGTGGAGATGTCCATCTGTTGAAAACACACAAGGCTGAGCAAAGCTGTCCTTTATATTCCCCGCAACGTCCTAAGGGCTGGAGCCTCAGGAGCATCATTTAAGAGACTGACAACTCATTACCCAGAACTTTGCTGCAAAGACCTGCTTAATCGAGGCTGACGGAGTCACCCACCGTCGCGGTGCCGGGCTTCATCATCGCCAGTTCTTCCCAGCATCAGCCTCTCGAGCTTCTCCTCAGGCGAGAGGCAGGACTAGGCCCTGCCTGTCACAGCTGGGGATGCGTTACGGGTACCGCCGGGCACCGGGAGCCCTCCCGAAACGGCACCGCCCCCCATCCCCGCTTCACCTCATCTCTCGGCTGTCACGCGGCGGCGACGCCACCCCCGCCCAAC